TCATAACGGTGGTACTTGGAGAGGCTGATATTTTCTGAGGTGGTGTAAAAGGTTTTAGGCACACAGATCTAAACCATGACATGTTTTGCAGGTGGTACCATGTTCACCATGGCAACGATGGTGCATGCAGATGCAGCAACCGGAAGCTCCTTCAAAGTACATTTTTGTTTTAATTTTTATTATTATTATTATTACCCATGACAGTAATCGTCATCTGAAAAGGAAGCACAGAGTTTGGATTAAAGAGCAGCAGGTCTTGAGACAACCAATGCACACGGCATCTTCCAGCCACCCAGCTTCCCTCCATTGTAGCTGTGGTCTTTCAGACAGAAGACCGTGGGAATGAAAGGCGAACCATTGCAATAATTAAGAGTTCTCACTAAAATAAGTGCTGGATGGTGGATCAGATGCATGCTGAATTTAACACCGACTATAATACTGTTAATTCACCATCTATTATGTGTGTGTTTCCTGTCTGGTGTTTGAGAGAAGGCCATGTCTGCCTTCACTGGCTGTATATTGTTGCAGTCAACACGACCAGATATTTAGCCTGCTAGATGATTTTTTGGGTGTGTGCGAGGCATCTGTGAGCTCTACGTGAGTCCTCAGGTCACTTCTTTAAACAGTTTACACAATCACGGGAGTGAGTGCTGATTTGCCTCTGATCTGGAGGCATTTGTCTGCGATCTCCAAAAGCTGTCTGAGTGGAAAATCAGGGTTAAAATCATGCAGTGTGGACAGTCTGTCTTAATATGGCTGATATGACAATAATAGGACACATTCTGTAGATGTTCCACATAAAAAGCCTACCAGGAAAACGTGATTACACGTTTATACTAATAACCCCCTCCACTGGTTGTGTTATATAACATATATATATATATATATAACGATATAATAGTCCCTATAGTAAAGATGGGTAAAAGTACAAAAATAAAAATGTGGTTGTTAAAAAGTAGAATTCTTTATTGTTTGTGGACACGTGAGCTTGTCTGATATTGCGTGACACCCTATATATATATATATATATATATATATATATATATATATATAAATATATACTCAACCATAATGCCTGATCATTTACCAGCTGTGGGCTCATTTACAAGCATTTTATTAAATGTAAGCTTAAGGCCTTCCAATGACATGCTTAGAGTACTTTTGAAGTGAAAAATGTGGTTTTGCCTTATTTGTATTTGTGTTTATTTTTCTACACTAACATTATTTGGAGGGATGTTTAAAGTTTTCCTCCAGACATGTATTAAAGCTGCAGGAGGTAACTTTTTGACATATTTGTAATATCCAAAGTTGTTCAACCATCTGACAAGCACTTCTGTTGAATAAAACTGGCTCCATTTAGGGTTAAAAGGATAATATTATCATTTAAATTGTAGTGATGTAGAAGTGTAATGAACTTGACCTTTTCTCTCAGTTTGGAAAGACCAGTTTCCTCTGCTCTGTGCTCCTTGGAGTCACCAGCCACTTTTATTTTTTTAATTGATCACTGAGGGTGTTCAGCAGGAGGGTCTTGTGTGTGTGTGTGTGTGTAGGTTCACATCACAGTGAGAGTAAACTGGGGAGGAAACGCTATATAACTCCATACACTATAACTAAACACTATATACCACATACACACATCAGTGTCTATAGTGTGATAGAGGGACGTCAGAGAGCTGCCATAGTCCTGCCAGATCTCAGACCAAAGGAATGAAAGAAGCAGAAGTTGTCACTGATGTTAGGGATGTTGTTTTGACAGATATTTTGATTGCATTATTTATGCTCAGTGTGATCACTTTACGTCGCAAATTAAATTTTAACTGAAAAAACGTTTAGAATCATGATAATGTAACAGTTTTTGGGGTCTACCAAACAAACATGTTTTCTTAAATCTGCAGAACAAGATTTGTAGGTATCTCTGAAAAACTACAGTACCTCATTACAAGGCTATTCTGTCACACATTTTACCTTTATCCAAAAAATTGCGATTTTGATAATATTTGAATCAGTTGTGCAGCACTATTTAAAAGGTTAAATTTACCACGTGTGTATATAGAAATACATATACAGATCTATCAGATATTTGATACACATTTTAACCAATCAGTGTATATTAAATGGAATACAAAATATGCCATACTCAAATGATAACCTGAGAATTCATTGCTAGGGTCAAGAGAACTGTAGTACCCTGATAGGAGGTCATGTCTAGTTCAGGTTGAGAAACTGCAACCTATAGTTGAAACATAATATTGAATAGTTTTTGGTCTGTCAGAAATCCAGGATCATGTTCCTATCTAAACAATTATTACACACAAGCGGTTCACGAACAGAGACTTTGAAGTTACTACATCGCCATTACAAACAATGCTGCCAAGGAGGGTCATATGAGTGTGTATGGCAGTACTGTCACCCATACAATGTACTGTGTGTCATGATGTCTGTCAGGCTGATGCTGCTAAGTAACTGAACTAAATTAATAAAATAACTAAATTAATGCAGACTATGTGTTCTTTTGCATTGAATAGTGTGAGGGCAGCATTTTTTAAATTTAAATTGAGTGTCAGAAAAATAGAGCAAAAACTTTAATTTTTAAAATGTAATTGTACATGCTCATTGGATTTTGAAGTTAACTTTCCCTACTGGCTAGCTTACATTAAGTTAAGTTGTGCGTTTGGCAGCACCATTCCCACAGGCTTTCACCAAGTCTTCTATTTGATTTCTCTTTGCCTGTGTCATTCCTGCTTCCTTTTGTTTTTGTCTCTCTGGCACCGCCAAGTGAGAAGGGTATCTCCGAGTGTGAAGTGCTCTTCCACTCCTTGCTGAAAGCACCCTGCAGTAGCAGCATGGTAATTCTGCTCCTCTATCTTTCCTCTGCATCATGTTTACCTAGCAACAAGCATCACCGCGGCTGGCCATCCCATTGGTCATTTGAAAACGCACCGGGGACCAATGGCAAGGCTGTTGCCATGGTACGGTGTGTAGTTGCCGGGTGGAATTTTGCTGCAAGGCACGTGAGTCTCAGAGTCTGCTTGCCTCCTCGTGCTGCCGCTGTAATCTCCACTGTCTCGTCGTTAGCACAGATGAACGTAATTTAGTGGAAGCCAGTCAGTAACTCTGTGAAGCGAATTACTAACGTTTATTCGCATATTTAGTAATAGAGCCACAGCACTTGGGTTTGAGAACTATCAACAGATAGAAAGAAAAACGGCGAAGTATACGAGTGGGAAACGACTGCATCTATGCACAGTTTAAGTCGGTGCTTTTCTGCCAATGCAATATGCTGTATCACAACCTACCAATGTACTGAAGCAGGGTTTGAGGGAGGTTTAAAATATATCATACCTATCATTAGTATTTTAAATCAAAAATCAATGATAAAAAAATATATGAAGAAATAAAACATTTTAACAAACCTACTGCTGTAAAAACAACAAACAAACAAAAACATGTTTTAGTACCAAAAATTTAAAGATCAAAACTCAAAAAGACAAATGGATTTTAGTACTGATGAATGGACAAAATAGTGATGTTGTGTGTATATTCAAAAAGCCCATGTTTTAATGACAGCATTTAAACTTGAATTTAAATATGGACCATGTTTACATTATTGGGTTGATACTGATAAATATACTATCTGAGGAAAAATGTGATTTGAAGTAAGATTTCTGTACATGGCATTGAGTCAACATATATATTAGGCCAAAATAGGTGCCAACATTAAATGTTTTTTGATTGAAATGTTCTTGCTCCATGGGATTTTATTTTCAGTCATATTTGTTTGTTTGTTAATGGCATATCTAAAATAATACTAATAATAATTTGTGTTGAAGTGCCTTTGGTGGGTAACAGTTAATATAGTCCTTATAGTGAACAAACCCCCTTATAACTAGCAGAGAAACTACAAAAGAGTTTTGTAGGTTAGCTGTTCTATGTGTTTGTACTATATGAATGTTCTGTCATTCCCAGCGCACACAGACACACACTTGTTCACCTGTTGCTCATCTGTCTGTAATTGTGGAGCTGAGATAATTGTGGGGTATGCATGGCATGATGAGAACAGAAATGCGCTACACTCCATGTTTCTCCTCAGTGCAAACACTCATATGCACACAGTCGGCCATAGTGAAAAGTAGAGTTAAACTTTGTCTCCTTATCTTTTTGTATTTGCAGGTGCCCAGCCACCTTGCATGCCTACCCATATATACTTGACATAAAATAGAAATTAGTGTACATGCACAGGTGAAAATTGGTGAAAATCTATTCTAGATCAGTTTTATTTGTTTACATTGTATTCCCTACATGCTAGTTCCTGCCTTTTTCATCATGACTGTACTGATGAAAAAGGCAGGTGCCTGTGGTGCTTATGTTTTCTGCACATGCAGTGACTGTTAATTGTGATGCAAGTGGAGATATGATGGATTGCTTTTTGAATATGACAGATGATATTTGCTTAATGAAAGTTGTTACTTGCACCTTGTCATTCATGCTTTTCATATGTTTTGAGGAAAAACTCCCCCTCCCCTCTCAATGTTTGGTTTAGGGCACAAACCATCCTTTTCTATGTAAAAAGTGGTATGGATGGACAGACTTCCAATGACTAATGACTACTAATATTTACTCCCAGCACTGTATTTGAACCTTTTACCACAACAAGTTCAGTTTGGTTTGGATCAAAGTGGAGCCCCTAGGGTGGCAATCATACAGAAAATAGTCACTAAAAGCGTGACACCATCCATTGTCTTCCTGTGGAACTGTGAGTGTGACATGCACTCCTCCTTTGCACATGCTCCTGGCTCCCACTCAGAGTTGGGCATTAGGAATTTTTGAAGCAGATCACCTTTACTGATACATCTACATGTGATGACTTGTTTTGCTTTATAACGTTGCTTCCTGCTTGTTCATGGCTCATGTCTGAGAAAGATCATTTTAATGCAAGCTCTATAATTATAGCATGTTATTATGGACATGTATAAATACATTTATTAGGCCATGCTATATTATTTTTAGCTGTGACCGGTTTACACTGTGGTCAGCTGTTTTCAGTGTGTGGGAGTAACAGTGATTTGAACCATAGGTTCTTGAGTCTCTGTAGATTACCATGGAAAGCTGCAGAAACTGTAGTCAGAGGTACACTACAAAGCCAGAATGCAGTAACTACACTTGCTGAGGGTTGCCTTGGAATTTAGCTCTGTTTTGCAAAATAAATAACCAAATTTGTTGTTACTGCACATAATAGAAAAAGATATGGAAGGCTGAGAGCATAGTTCAATATGACAATGCAGCGGTTAAATTGCAGCAATGACAACAGAATAAGCAGTCTTGTTGAAAGTGTACTGCTGGTTCATCCCTGTCCCCAGAATGAATCCAGGATTATCAGGGGAAACCATACCATGGTACAGCAGGCAATTACAGTAAGCAAGCTCACATACTGACTGATTAATCTGCACAGGTTAAAGTTTAAAATTACATGAAAAAGGGAGAAGTCAAGTGACACACATTTCTCAGTGAGCTGTATTTGAGGGTAGATTTTCCTTTAAGGAGCTGTCAGCTGGTTTATGACACTGTTTGTGTGCTGAGCTGTTCCCAGGCAGCATTGTGCCTGATTTAGCCAGAATGCTCGGATAGCAACAGCAACTTTTAGCTTTGGCTGGGGTTATGAGGAGAAGTCAGACATCTCAGCTGTAGAGAGTCACTCAGTGACCATGTGCTTCTGGAAGCCTTTTGCCCCGTTCCCCCGGCTCCATCTCCACCCCTCCCCCCTCTTTCCATTTCTACCTGACATCTTCAAACTATTTCCGCGTCATTCCTGCCTCGCGCCGTTTGAAGACACACTGAGAAACTAAGCCAACGCCCCTCCCACAGACCCGTCCGCTACCCTATCACACACAGGGACGGGACTTTATGTAGCCAATCAGATCACAGCTGCCGTAGCGTCGGGTAGCAACAGAGCCCGTAGAGGGTGCCTGCTGAGTGAGGGTAGAGGCTGCCTTTACCCGAGCACAGAGAAGTTGGAACATGTTGAAAGACTGAATGAACAAACAGCCTTTACGTGTTACATGGTAGCAGTAATACAAGCTCATATATTTAATGCTGATTTGCCATATTTATAAAATATAATATTAAAAACTGCTGTGAGTGTATTTTGAATGTTTGTTGCGGGGGCAGCCTATGTATTAATACACATATCTGTTGTATAAGGGAGTACATTTTAATGGCGCTTATCAATATAGACCTATGTCCCTTATTTATTTTTAATTTTTTTCATTTTACCGCCCTCTGGCCCGGTTCTTCACAAACATTTAACAATGAGCTTGCTCAGACCATAAGCTGTACTTAATTTACAGTTACTTTTGCAAACCTTAAGGAAATGGGGCTTGGAATAGGTTTAGAAAAGTAAGACTTTTTTGAGTTGGTGGGATTTTTTTTTTTTTTTAAGTATTTATCAATCGGTCTTCATCCATAAAATGCTATCATGGGTTTAAGTAAAGGTTGTCTATGCATGCGTGTATATAAAGTTCCAGTATATATATCCCGCTGTTACTATAAATGGACAGGACATGAGAGATCCTGGAGCGGACTACTGCGGTCAGATGGAAGGTTACTGTCCCGCTAACTCACCCGGCTCGTCGACGTTGTTTCATTAAAGCAGTCGGCCTCTGACTGCTGCTCGATAACATTCCTTGTAAAATGTCGTTAATGTCACGTTTTCGTCCCGTATGTGTATCTACTGTGGTTTTACCGGTAGCTTATATGTGAGTCTGCGCCAGACAGATCAGCTCCGACCCCCGCCACAGGCATATGGTATAGTCCCTATGGCAGGGTTGGGGGGACCGTGTGGGAGAGGAGCACGGATTCCGTCTAACGGAGAAGCACGGAAAGGGAAACGGGCGAGAAACATGAGTCGAAATCGCCCTTGTGATGGTTTCCATCTTGAAGGAATAAAAAATCTCCCTCACTGCTGAGAGGGACGAGTGGAGGAGGACGTTAGTGTTAGAGAAAAGAGCGGAAGGAGACGGAAGAAGAGGCGCCTTAACGAGCGATCAAAGGCGCCCGACAGCAAGCTCAGGAACTTCACTGGATTTGGTTTCTTTACTTCGAGGCGACTCTCAAGTTTTGGGTTTTGCAGTTGAGACTTTTACTTTAGTGTGATTACCTCAGACGCGGACTTCTTCCTGGATCGAGTTGGTAAACAGAGGACAATATCGGAAGTACAAGTTTGGAAGTACAATGCAGGCCGTCCGCGGCTTCTCCTGTCTCTTCAGCACGGGGAAACATCTGGTATCTAACCCCAGATACTGGATCTAAACCTTTGTCTCCCGATCGCTTTCTTTCGGCAGCGTGCAGATGAAGTGCAGTGTCCCTGCTTCTACGTCGCGTTGTCTCTGCAGACAGACCTGTTGGACTGTGGATATCCAGTTAGAGTAACTTTCTCTGGAACTACACTCTCTGCGAAATCAACACGTTGCAGGGGACAGGGTTGTTTACATGTGTTTCTTGTCACAGAGACATCCTGTATGGTGTATGGGCAATGCATTATTGTTTGTCTTTTTGAACGTGCTCCTTCTCACCCCAGCAGAGGCCGACCACCTCCTCCTGTAGGCGGGTGAAGGGGAGCAATCCACACAGGTTGTGTAACATTGCCAGTGGAGGGCTGTGTGTGTCACTGGATTATCTGAGTGATAACATCACTATACACTGCTCTACTCTGTCCAGTGACGAGTCCCCCCAGAAAGCGGCAGTAATTGGAGCTATTTTTAGCGTAGGATGGGGTAAAAGCAGGCAGCTGGAAACCCAACTCCCCTCCACCTCCTTTTCTTCCACCCCTTCTGTCACACTACCTCGCTCAGCCCACCTGGCAGTATGCTGGGCGAGTCTGGTTAGCACAGACTTGACTTACAGCTAGTTAAGGTGTTTTGCATGTAGTCTTGAAGAAAAAAAGAAAAACTGGATGAACTTATTCCGCTGATCTCTTGGATCCATATACTGGCCATGGAGTCTTAGTAAACTGGGAATACTAACTGTACTGTACTGGACACATAAACTGTACTGGATTACTACTAAGATGTCTGAAGAACTACTAGCATAAGCAAGTAGAGTATATGCCTTTACTCCTGGGACATTTCGCTCAAACTCTTAATCAGAGTGGCCACTCTTTAACATACTGTTAGAGAAGAAAGGCCTACTTTTGACTTAAAATATCAGTCACCAGCGATCTGCAGCAGTACAGACCTACAGCACCCAGAAAGAATGCATGAAACTGCCGAAACCAACGTAACAAAAAGCTAACCTGACTAACCAAATATTCTATTTCCCCCCACTCCCTAGACAGAGAAACCCAATATATGTAGAATGGGATATTTATATCTATAGTGTAACTCCACAGAACACAGAGATTACTTCCTTTATATTTTTACTTAAGAGAGACAAGCTGCCTGTATACCAGTTGGTTGCCTTAGAAACCACAGTCACAAAATAATAAAAAAAAAAGAAAAAAGCCAGAGAAGACGGTGCCTTTTGATTGGTTGGTCGGTTTCCCACCATTTCAAGATTCATTGATTTATTTGGATGTAAACGGTTAAAAGTGAAGTCTAGGATTGAAAACGCATCCAATGACAGTTACCTAAACCCCGACAAACTCTGTGCATCTGTCAAAGTTGTTTTGATTGACAGTATTTCCCTGCTGGATTGAACAATTGCCAAGCATTTCCATGGTGATCACATCCTCATCCGTGGAGGAGAAGACTGTGCCCTCTTGCAGGATGGTCCAATCAGAACCCTGGATCACCTCTGCCCTGCTGCGCAAGAACAAGAGTCAGTACACAGCTTACACACACACACACACACACACACACACACACGTATACACACACACACACACACACACACACACACACACACACACACACACACACAAAAATCCCACTGATTAAATAATGTAAGCTCTTTCTTACTTCATAGCATAGCCACAAGTGTATGTGACTCTACTTTCATAGTAATCTGTGTATTGATACTTGAACGGTCAGAATCCTGGCAGCTCTTGATGTGAATTGTTAGCATGTGGAAAACACTTAAAAGTGTCACAAGCAGTCTGTCAATGCCTCTCTTTGCCAGGTGATCATTGGCCTGCATCTCCATTGACTCCCCAGAAAAATTAGGAATATAATATTTAAACTTGTATCAACATCATATCCTTTGGAAGTTGGAACAGCAAGGGAAGAAATAGGGTTGGATGTTTTTATTGATTGTACTTTATAGTGATCCCAGTTTGATCATTGATTGACTATAAATACTTTATAATCTTCAAACCTAAAAATAAAAAAGACAGTCCCCCTAGAAAGTTGTGACTGCAACAATTATTACAACTATTTTTTCAATTTTCACTTTCTGCTGCAATTTCATTGCAAAAAGAAATCATAAAAACATTGCAACATGCATACATTTTTCTTTAGAATAGTTACCATGAAATGGGTCATTTTAGGCCACAAAATCCCCATCAAAAGCCTACTAAATCTTGGAGGAACTGTTAAAACAACATCCTCTGAAATTGGTTGTCCATGTTCCAATGTTCATCTATTGTGGGGGTCCTTGACATGAAACATTTTCGGAACCCCTGGTCTATACTGCTCATAATGATAGAGAAGTAGCTAGCTTGCTCCACAACAAACAGAAGTTTACGCAGAATATATTCAACTCAGAAATGGGGAAAACACTGGGTGTGTTTTGTGAAAAGAAGTACTGGCCTGACTTTAACTTTTCTTTACCAAGCAGCTGTTTATCACATGGTTCTTTATATTTACATGTTATAAGCCTGAATCAGTAACGGCTGCTGCAAATGTTTTAATTTTGATGTCTGCATGTTGCTGCAGTGTTTATCTTCAATTGAGTTGTGAGTTATCCTCACAATAAGAAGGTCCTGGGTTCAGATACACAGATAGGCAGAATGGATGGATGCAAATGAGTTGAGTGTGTGTATCTCATATGACAAAATATACATTGTCTATAATAATATAATGGCCAGTTCATGTTACTGTGTTATGACTGGTTGTGTGTGTGTTTGTGAGAGAAAGCATGAGGACAAGACACCTTTCATATATTGTTCAAGTCCACTTGACTGGACTTTATTGATATGATATATAACAAATTGACATGTCAGTGTTGATAGTTTGTGTTTTTTTGTGTTTTGGGAATACTTACAGCCAATAATGATAGTTGATAAAGTACCAAAACAATAATGATAATAATAATTGACGGCATTCTCTGCTGCAGCACTCTGAATGAGTTTGGGTTCATTTAGAGATTGAGATGATCTGAAGCTACAGTTTGTGAGAATTTGTATGGTTTATATGGCACAGGCTGTGTTAAGTTTTTAATACTCTTAACACATGATTTGTGGATACACATTTGGATGCAGGACTCCAAAGAGGTTTGCTGTCTGTTATATGATGTACCATACAGCAGTTAATTGTTGGAACATTTTGAGATCAGATAAGCCTTTATTGATGCCCAGAGGGGAAATTGTGTATTTATTTCTGCTTAATGTTGACTACTAATGTTGCCCTGACACTTTGTGGCTTCCTACTTCAGCTTTCCCTACCAGCACTGTTGCTCACTTATCACTTGCCTTTCCTCCTTCTGTATTAGTTTCAATCATTTTTTAACTCTGTTGTCTTGTAACAGTGTAACTCTGCTTGGTAAAAGCCCATTAATAGAAAATCAATAATTTCCTGGGGAAAAAATAACATGTATATTATGAATAAATCAAGAACTTGTATAGAAAAATGTGACCTGTCACAACCCTAGTTGAATGTATTTTATTACTATTTGTCAGAAGTCCATGTCCCTGCTACCCTCACAGACTTTAATTGACATCAACTATGACACCATGCACCTCTGTGAGTGCAGAAGAGTGTGTAGGCTCCAAACTCTTAGTTAGTTACTTAAGTAACTTGTAAAAAATGTGCACAAATGGCTTAAAAAGTCAGCGACAGACTTAAGAGGAGTGAGCGGTAAAGTTTATTTAGACATAAGGGGGGGCATGCAAAACTGGGCCCTTCTGTCACTTAAAAAGGTCAGCCACAGTAGTTCCTACAAATAATGTTTATATGTAAAGCAATTCCCTCAGCCCTTTGTCTGCTTTTCCACCGCGAAGACTAGACAAATTAGTCTGTTGACATATGAAAAAGTGATTTTTACATATACGTTTTGTGCACAGGCATAAACACATCACCTGAAATTCAGCATAAGGACAGTTGCTTATTTTAACCTTTGCACTATCCCGTGTTTTAAATACTGAGCTTAAAGGCATATAATTGTGCCACTACTTCCTGTTGTAAATAGTTGAATATTGTAATACAAGCATAAGTGTTATTTGCCTTTTTACATATATAGTAGTATATATGTAAAAAGGCAGTATATCAATATTATATAGATATGAGACCAGGTATTGTCTTAGATTTTGGAGATGGTAATATCGTATTATGGAATAAGAGTTTTTTCTTGGTTTTAAAGGCTGCATTACTGTAAGGTGATTTAATTTCCTAAAGGTAGAGGCTTGGCGGTAGAGTAGATCGTCCACTAATCGGAAGGTTGTTGGTTCCATCCCCAGCTGCTCCGGCTGCATGTTGAAGTATCCTTAAGCAAGATACTAAACCCTTAATTTGATGCTGTGTAATCGGTGTGTAAATGTCTGAACATTTGACAACGCTGTCTTCAGTAGTCAAATTCTGACAGACAGAGTTTTGGTTTCAGAAGCATTTATTAACAGGTTGTGTGTTTTCCACTCATGCTTCTATATTCTGCATGTCCTGTGTGGTGGGGAATTGTTAGATGAAATGAAGGTGGGTCAGAGTCAGTTTCTTTTGCACCATTGTTCACCATTTGCAAATTGTTTTGTAAGGGACAAACAGTCCCTTTAATACTAGTAAAATCAGCAGACTGTCATATGAACTAATCTTCATGTTTATACAAGTTCAGTTTTTATCTGAACAGTTTCACATGAACACATACATTACACGAGAAAGTAGATATCAATAGTGCTGAAGATTTGCCTAAATTTACGAAACAATATGACCATAAGGTCTGTTTTGTAGCTTTTCTAGAGCTTTTGATTATATCACATGATCATCATTAGCAGACAGCATTTTCCTAGTTGTCATGGAATTGCAAATGTATACATTTTGTCGTTTTTTTGAGCACTTAAAAACGGTTCATCTATGTTACCGAAATCAGTATTGTAACCAAGGTATGTTCACATTTATTAAGCTTTTCTCATTGCTTTTATCAGGGAATTTCTCCATTTGACATGGTTTGTTGATTTTAGGTTTGTAGTTTTTAATCTCTTCTTGTGAAGCATTTTGAAGAGTCCTCTAAAAGTTAAGATATTATCTGTGTTGATCAGTTTTCCTATAGTTCCATCAGTTATGAGAGGTCAGGTTTTGAACCTTGATCACGCACCTGCAAGGCACTATTTAACCAGGTGTCCCCCTCCTTCATTATTAGGCCTGTGTAATCTACATTTAGTTTGCTGTGATGGTGACTATTGCAGTCTATTTGTGATTCTTCATTTCTACCATGTGCTCTTCCAGTACTGTGAGTTTGATCAGTTAGCATGTTACTGCACTGCTGAGACGATTTTTTTATTTTATTTCAATAGAAAAAATAGCCAACCTCAATAAACATGAGACATCCACACACTAATCAACTTCTATAAGTCATTTAAGATGTCACGTAATAGTGTCAGTTTTATGAGGATTCTTAGTAATTCTTTAAAGATATTTAGTAAAACAGGCTCTGATGGGATTTTTCATACTTGTTTCTATGTTGGTAATTATTTGTTGTATAGGTTCTTTATGATCAGTCTACCATGTGTCACTCAGCTCACTAATTCCTTAAAAAATATAACTTACCTTTGTGAAATTATTTAAACAATTGTCTCAGGACACTTTTCAAATAGAGCAGGTCTAGACCGAACTATTTATAACATTATTTACAGAGACCCAACAGTACCACCATGAGCAAGACCTTGGTGACGGGGGCAAGCAGGACCATGGCAGGAGGCTCCACCAGGATCCATGAGAACCTGCGAGACGAGAAAGCACAAGAACTCCGGGGAAGAAGTGAAATTAGTAACTAGTTAGCTAATCTACATCAATTGCTGGCCTGGGTTTTGCTAACTTTAGCAAACTTAAGATGTGACTATATGTTGCTTTTATCTTTTAACCATCTTCAAAATGTGGTTGTCTTTTCAACAAAGATAAGCCTAGCACATGGCATTTCTAATTGCAAGAAAGGAGGGAGTTGTATGGTTCTGACCGAGGTTTGCTCAACTGTTATTGGAGCACAGAGCAAAATGGGGCTTAGGAATGGTCAGTTTATATCAAGTCAACGTCTTTAGGCTGTGGAAGACAGCAGTTTCTTAAAAAATTTTCAGTGTAGCTTATGGCAGCATCGCAGCTTGAAACACTCTTAAAGTCACCAACAGCGTGCTGCTTGACTTATTGTAGCCTTAGACACAACTGATCACAGCAGTCTCTTTGACACATTTAAGTGTTAGGTGGCTGTATTGAACACTGCATGAATTAGTTAACTTTTAGTATATTTTTAAAAAATCCCCACAGAGGTTTTTTTCTGTTAGATTTGGAAACACAACATCTGCTGTGAAAACTGTCTAGATATGCGGCTACACATTCTTTTATTGGTAGAAAAAGTAGATTTTTAATTGCAAAAATTCATAAAAATAAGTTCAATTTAACATGTTAAAAATATAAAATATTATTTACACTCAAAGCACATATTACCGAAACTGAATCCAA